CAGCGCTTCCCTCCGTCTGTTTTACAGGTGCTCATGTATATGCTCCGATCCCAGTCCCAGTTCATCCCACCGTCTCCTTCCCCTGCTGTGTCCACAGGCCCTTCTCTATGTCTGCGTCTCTCTCCCGCAGTGGTACAAGTGAACCTATCTAAGTTAGCTTTTAAAACAGGGTTTGTCCACCTCGGCCCTCCATGGCCAGGTGAATGGACACTGCTGGCCAGGTGAGTCTTTATCCTGGGGTCTGTCCTGGGTATTGTGAGCAGTTTTGCAACATCCCTGCTAGATGCCAGGGGCACCCACCTCCCTGGTGTGACAACCAACAATGTCTCCAGACAGCGTCACATGTCCCCTGGAGGGTTGGGGGGTGCGGTGTCATCTCTTACTGAAAGTCACAGCTTTCAAAACATCACACCCACCCAGGATAACTAATGGATATACAAAAGCTAGCATTGGACTACGGGATTTTTTTTGTTTGTTTGCATTTAGATTTTGAGGTTTGCTCGAATTCTCCCGTTCAATTAATACTCAACCAGAATGTGCCTTCATGGCCTCCTTGTGCTCAGGATTTTATGTTTGAGGCAGATCCCAGCGTGATTCATCCTCCGCAGACCTGTGAGAGCAGCCCCGGGTGGGGTCACAGAGAGTCCGAGTGCACAGGCTGCAAGGAGATTCCGCAGGGATTGGAATTATCGAGTGCCAACGCTCCATCCATCGGAAGTCTGCCCTGAGCTGCAGGGACCACCGATCTCACCCGGTGCACGGACGCAGACAGGACTCTGACACTCCTCTACAGCTCTGGGTGGGGTTTTCCAGCATTCACTCTCCTGCTTGTTTGCTTTGATTCATTGAGAATCGCAAACGTTTGCTTCTGCTGTGACGTTTCTTCACCCTCAAAACCCTGAGGACCACGGCTTGGAGGCATGAACAAACCGTGACTTTACTGGCTCCATGCTATTTTTTTTTCCCTAGTTTTCCATGAAGTATGCATCCAACCTGCGGTTTTATAGCTAAGCCTCCTCCAGGCTTCCTGACAGAGTCCTCTTGCCGTCCTGCTGTTGTAACATCTTCACTGCTTAAGCAGGGTCACCGGCGCACCTTTGACAGGGCAGGTTGCAGCCGTCCTGCCACGAGACTGACAGCGGGACAGCACAACCAAATCGTCCAGATCCTCTGCCCCAGCCCCTCACTGTGGTTGTTGAGAGACGAACAAGCTGGAACGCAGACCCTCAGGCACTTGGATCCACCATGGAATAGGGGCGCTTACGGGCAGAGGCTGAACAGAAAGTAGAAACGGACACTCCCCTGGTTGATATTCATGCATAAGCGTAACCCCAAAGTGAGGGTGTCAGTGTTGAGGTAGCAGCTCTTGTTCCAGTGGCCAGAGGTCTTCAACCTGGGGATCCCAGATCATTCCCACCAAGGCATGGGTGACAAAGACCCAGAAGAGAAACTGCCTTATCTTTACATCAGCAGGTGAAATAAGGAGGAAAGGCTTGGCGTAAGAGGCCAAGTCGAGGAATGAGCGTGGGTGGACGGCAGAGCCCTGCACACCCCGGTCTAAACCCGGCGGCTGCACTGACTCACTGTGAGATGTCTGCAGGTGGGTTCACCTCCCCAGGCCTCGTGACGTCATCTGGAAAACAGGCAAGGGGGTGAGGGCTCCACCTCCCTGTTAGGAAAACGAGAACTAAGTCCTGCCTGCAGCAGGAGATTGGCATGTAATGAACACACGGGGAGATGCTGATTACTGTAAGAACAATGTGAAGAATAGTCATCAGGGTGACTATGCATTCTTACGTCTTAAGAAGGGCTCACTTCCTTATTCCAACCCAGAGCCATCCTTGGAATAGACAAATGTTTGCTCTTATGGAGATCAAACCAGTCCATCCTAAAGAAAATCAACCCTGAATATTCCTTAGAAGGACTGACCCTGAAGCTGACGCTCTGAGACCTTGGCCACCTGATGTGAAGAGCTGACACATTGGAAAAGACCCTGATGCTGGGAAAGATTGAAGGCAGGAGGAGAAGAGGGTGGCAGGGGATGAAGTGGATAGATGGCATCAGCAAGTCCATGGACAATGAGTTTGAGCAAACTCCGGGAGATAGTGAAGGACAGAGGAGCCTGGCCTGCTGCAGTCCATGGGGTCACAGAGCCGGACACGACTGAGCGGCTGAACAACTACACTCACGATAAAAACATGAAGAACACTTCCGTAGACAACATAAGGATTGCAGCCTAACTTGTATGACACATTTTAAAATATTCGTTGGCTGCAGTTGAACCTGTTCATGGGAATTACGAGTTTTTTTTTTTTAACTTTTAATAGCAAAAATGGAGGGTTCGACCAAAATTAAATGTATCAATTGTTTATGAGCTAGCAGCTCATTCTGGGGGATGCTAGCATCACACACTCTTACCAAGAGTCCACACACCGTCTCAGAGGATTGAGTACTGAACCCCCAGACCTAAAAGGAGTCCCTGTTACCTGGGGGCAATGCCCTGTTTCACGCCCTGAGCCCAAACAAGACCCCTGGAGAAGGCTCCCTGCCCCACACGGCCCGAGAGCCCGGGCTGCCAGCCCCACTGCCACCCCGCTGGGAACCCACCGCCGTCCGTCAGTCCGTCACCCGCTGGTCTGGTCCTTCGCTTGTTGGTTGTTGACCGCATTCCTGGGAGGGGAGCTCCCAGCTCCCTGCCTGTGCCTCATGGTATCCCAGCTCCCGGGGAGAGTCTGGGCAGAGGAAATCTCAGTAAACGGCTGAATTAAAGAATGGAAATAAATAGTTTCAAGAGAAATAAATGCAGATAAATGTGTGTGTGTTGAGACAGCTTTAAATGTGTTTTACTAATTTTCAGAAGATTTTTTGGAAAAAGGCCAAATAGAGTTGACCAAATTGAATAGATACTCTTTCAGCTCCAGCCTGTTGGATGATCTCTGGTTGTCGTGAGCTAAGAGGGTGACGATTCCAAAACCTGACCTTGGCCAGTGTTCCCACGCTGGCCTGGCCAAAGCCTTTTCACTCGTTTATCTATTGATATACATATATATACATATATAGACTTCCCTGCTGGCTCAGATGGTAAAGCGTCTGCCTGCAGTGCAGACCCATGTTCCTTCCCTGGGTTGGGAAGATCCCCTAGAGAAGGAAATGGCAACCTACTCCAGTACTCTTGCCTGGAAAATCCCATGGAGTCGCAAAGACTCAGACAAGACGGAGCGGCTTCACTTTCACTTTCTGTCTCTATGTATAATTTTATTCATTTATTCATTTTGAGCTGTGCTGGGTCTTCCTGCTGCAAGGACTTTCTCCAGTTGCAGTGAATGGGGCTTCTCGTTATGGGGGCTGCGCTCTAGTTGCCGCTCTGGGCCTGCAGGCTTCAGGAGCTGCGGCTCCCAGGCTCTAGAGCACAGGCTCGTATTTGTGGCCCGCAGGCTGAGCTGCCCCGTGGCCCGTGGGATCTCCCCAGATCAGGGACGGAGCCCGCGTCTCCTGCAGTGGCAGGAGGATTCCTGACCGCTGAGCCGCCAGGGGCGCTCTTTTCACATGTGTTTTAAATGCAAAGAGTCAGGAGCTACTCCCCGGGTCACGGCCATGTAAACACTCCTGGCTGGTTGTGAAAGCCCTGCTCTTTTTGCCCTCCTTCTGTCTGCCCACCGCCTGCCTCTCTAAGCCTGGCACACCCTCCTGTGTGCCCACAGGCACATGCTCACTCGTAATGGAGTGGATGCCACACAGCGTGGAGGAGGGGGCTCTGAGCAGGACCCCGGGTGGGGAGGGGGCCGCTGAGCTGGGGAGAGGCCACCCCAGGCCCAGAAGCGTGAGTCGGTGTGGGCCTCTGGGTAAGGGCTCCGGGCCTGGGTGCCATCTGAGCGCACGTCCGAAGGGCCAGGGGAGGCAGTGCCCAGGGGGGAGAGCTCGGGCTCCGCCCCGCCCAGCCTCCGGGGTGAGCTCGGCCTTCCTCCTGCCTCCCTCAGCGTCACAGCAGATGGACTGTTCACCATCTGCAAAATCCAATAAAGTGTACCACGTTTCTTATCCTTATGAACAACGCGTTAGCCTAAAACTTCAGGAGGACCTAAGAGACAGAAGGGTCTCCTGGGCACCCACGGCTACGGGCCAGAAGCAGCGTGCCAGATCCTCCTGTCACACAGGAATCCCCCAGGAGTCCTTTTTTTTCTTTTTTCCAGCTCCTCAGCCTAATTTGGACAGCGGCTTCTGTGTTTCTGCATCTCAGAGAGCTCAATATAGGACGTGTGTGCTGACATTTAGGTGATTTTCTAATGTACAGAATGCAGAAGTAGGGTTTTGAAGTCTTAATATTCCTAAGTGGGGACTCCCAGATGTCTCAGAGGTAAAGAATCTGCGTTCAGTGCAGGAGACGTGGGTTTGATCCATAGGTGGGGAAGATCCCCTGGAGGAGGGCATGGCAACCCACACGTCGTGTTCTTGCCTGGAGAATCCCTTGGACAGAGGAACCTGGTGGGCTACAGTCCGTGGGGTCACAAAGAGTCGGACAAGACTTAGTGACTGGGCATGCACACAGTCCTAAGTGGATAATAACATATTTTGTAACCATAAAAGTATAGTTTTGTTTTTTTCTTCAAAACTGTCAGTTTGCCTCAGCTCTACTTAAAAACTCAGAAAACTTCTAAAACGTGAATATATCATCACATTTCTTTCAGGAAATAACCTTCACAAGATATGCAGTTCTATAATTACACATATGAAATAAAAAATGTTACAGAATTTTGGAAATAACAGATTTATGAAATTCACTATTGTCACTTAATGCAGCCCATTACAGGTAACAGGGGTATAGCAGGCTGATGAATATATTGTAGACCATAAATTTAATTAGGGATGATTATTAACTTACTGTTTCAAATGTAATGAGTGTTTGACTTCCTGAGTTTTATTCTTTCATTCCACTATTTGATTCAACTTATTGGGCACATTTGATCAGGAAAGAATCATTTTCTTCCTACAATTTATTTTAGGTTTTGAAACGAACATGAACCTTACTAGCCGAGATGATTTTGGTACTTCAGAAATTACATCAGAGACCCAGGACAGAAATGCAAATAACCATGGGATTCAATTATCTAATTCACTCTCCAGTGCAATGACTGCTGAAAATGGAAATTCCGTCTCAAACGGTAAGTACTTCTTTAAACTTGGAAGTAAACAGATACAAGTTTTAAGTTGTATCAACTTTATAGGGAGAATGAATTTAAAACAAAAATGAAGTAGGCTTAAAAACTTGGAAAAGGCATAAAGGATGAAATATCACTGTAGGGTATATTGTCAACTTATTATTTTCAAGTTAAAGAATTAAAATTGCATTCAATATTAGCTAGCTTTTTTTCCCCCAGAGATTTTTGTGGAGTATTTGGTCTGTGGAAGCCAGTATAAACTGAGACTTATCCTGAGCAGAGGAGATGATGATCTAATAGTATTTTTAAAGAAAAACATAATTATTTAAAAAACAAATTTTGTATGTAAGAAAGCTGTGGTACATATACACAATGGAATATTACTCAGCTACTAAAAATAATGCATTTGATTCAGTTCTAATGAGGTGGATGAAACTGGAGCCTATTATACAGAGTGAAGTAAGTCAGAATGAAAAACACTAATACAGTATATTAATGCATATATATGGAATTTAGGAAGATGATAACGATGACCCTATATGGAAGACAGCAAAAGAGACACAGATGTAAAGAACAGACTTTTGGATTCTGTGGGAGAAGGGGAGGGTGGGATGATTTGAAAGAACAGCCTTGAAACATGTATATTATCATATGTGAAACAGACCGCCACTCCAGGTTCGATGCCTGAGACAGGGCACTCGGGGCTGGTGCGCTGGGACAACCCAGAGGGATGGGATNGAGGGATGGGATGGGGAGGGAGGTAGGAGGGGGTTCAGGATGGGGGACACGTGTACACCTGTGGCCGATTCATGTCAATGCATGGCAAAAACCACCACAATATTGTAAAGTAATTAAAATAAATTAATTAATTTAAAAAATTTTGTATGCAATAGTTGATTTACAGTGTTTGTTTCAGATGTACATCAGAGTGATGCAGATACACACACATACACACACACACATATATATTCTTTTTTATATTCTTTTCCCTAATAGGTTATTATAAGCAGTGAGTATAGTTCCTGTTGATTATTTCCATGCCTCAGAAAAGTGAAGGGAAATTGTATTGAAACAATGGTAAACTCCACACTGTTTCAGGTATCCGATGTGGGTATGTCAGTGGACGTGTCTTATAGAAACTGACTTGGCTGTGTATCTAATAGTCGCTTACACATAGCTTATTCCTTCCACCCTAGAAGCAGCCCAGGGCTTCTAGGTGATGTCTGAAGAGAAAATTCAGACCAACCTTCTCTTGAAGAGCCTGAGGGCGTGGGTACGGGCTGTAATGACGCAGAGCAGGAAGGCCTGAATTCCAGGCTTTCCTCTGAAGGATGTCAGGGGTGCTCACCGAGTCCCCTGGAGGCAGCTGGGATGCGGGGCTGTGTCTCCTAGGACTGCGGGGACAGGCTGTGTCCAGCACCTCCCATGGCCCCAGGGCGAGGTTGAAGGGTCCACGGTAAGAGTCAAACAAAGAACGTGTTGGCCCCAGCTCGTCTGTGAATCGCTTCAGTTCCTGGGGCCGGGCTGAGGTCCTTCAGGACGACAGAGGCCAGAGGCACCCGGAGGAGAGGAGTGCGCGGATCTGTCCCAAAGGACAGTGACAGCATCCTTACCTTCAGGATGTCCTACAAACCACCTTTCAAACACAAAGTCCAACACGTCATCAAAAGGGAACGGACACATGAGGACACAAAATAAGATGAAAAATTGTGAGCAGAAATAGCCGTGTATCCACAGGGCCTCAAAAGACGAGTTCAGAAGCACATGCTTCAAAGTAAGTATGTTTACTTTGCCTAAGGAGATAAAAGAATGAAAATCTCAGCAGAAATCAGAAACCATAAAACATATCAAATGGAAATTCGGAGATTGAAGAAGGCAGTCATAAAATTAAGTACAATAGAGGATGAGTTTAAAGTTAATTAGACACAGCCATTAAAAAAAAAATCCTAGGGAAGAGGAAGATAAATCAGAAAATATCCAGAATGAAGCACAAAGAAGCAGAGTGGAAATTTCAGAAGTCAATTTAAAGACATAAAGGATACGGCCAGAAGGGTTCATTGGAATCCTAGGGAAAGAAGACGGAGTCCGTGGGGGACAGAAACGATTCTGTGAGAAACTGGAGAGGATTTTCCAACACTGGTGTAAACACGAAGCAAGTGGCTTAAGTCAGCAGTTTCTCATAAACACGCACCTTCCATGTGACCCAGCAGCCCCACCCTTAAGAGAAATGCAAACAGCGTCCACAGGAACACCTGTATGCAAATGCAAATCCCACTCTCATTCATAGTCACTTAAAACTGGAAATCCTAAAGGAAATCAACCCTGAATATTCATCGGAAGAACTGATGCTGAAGCTCCAGTACTCTGGCCACCTGATGCGAAGAGCTGGAAAAGACCCTGATGCTGGGGGAGATTGAGGGCAGGAGGAGAAGGGGACGACAGAGGATGAGATGGTTGGATGGCATCACCGACTCAATGGACATGCGTTTGAGCAGGCTCTGGGAGACGGTGGAGGACAAAGGAGCCTCCGTTCTGCAGTCCATGGGGTCACAGAGTAGGACACAACAGAGCAACTGAACAACACCAAAACGAAATAAAGCAGGTGCCGTCCAGCTGGCGACTGGACAGTATTCGGCATCTGTTGCCCTGCAACAATTACCCTCCACCCCCAGAACTTAGAGGCTGTTGTTTGTAGTATCTGTGGGTCAGGGACCTGGGTGTGGCTGAGCTGAGTGCCTGGGGTTCAGGGTCCCTCATGGGGAAGTGATCAGCCATCAGCCAGAACTGCAGGCGTCTTGAGGCTAGCTGGAGAGATGGTCCAGTTTCAGTGTCACTCACATGAGCATCTCCACAAGGGAGGCCTCACTACAGGGCAGGGGCTTCCCCCCGGAGCAAGCAGTCCACAGGAGAGCTGGGAGGAGCCCCCGGGGTGGGGTGGAAGCCACGCTCGCTGCTCTGCTGTTCCTGCAGGGGACAGCCAGCGCTACGGCCACATCCAGCTTGGTGGCTTCGGGCCACACGTCCAGTCGACTCACGGGAGTGGGTTCCATGAGGTGTGAGTGCCTCCAGGTGGGCCCATCAGGGACCACTTCGCAGGCTGCCCAGCACATGGAGCAACTCTGCGATAAAAAAGGATAAACCGCTACTGCAGTTGAGAAAAATGTATGCATCACAAAGGCATTGCACTGCATTAAAAAAAAAAAATCCAAAGACTCTGAGTCCATTTATTTGACATTTTGGAAAATGCAAGCACAGGGACAGTAAGAGATGGGTGGGCTGCCAGAGACCGGGGCTGGGCTGCCTTAAGGAAATATTCAGGCTGGGTGGTCTGTAAGGAGCAGTGGCTTCATGGCCACAGTTGGGGGGCTGGAGTCCAAGGTTAGGGTGCCAGCTTGGGTAGCAGCCCTCCTGTAGGCTACAGGTGGCCGGCTTCTTGCTTGTCCCCCAGTGGTGGAGGGAAGAAGGTAGCCAGCTCTCTGGGGCCACTTTTATAAGGGCACTAACCCCATTTGTGGGGCTTCCACCTTCAGGACCTAATCATCCCAAAGGTTCCACCTCCTAACACCACCACTTTGGGGTTAGGGTTTCAACATGTGAGTTTTAGGGGGACACAGACTTTCAGAGACCTGGTTACCCCCCAAAGGTTCTACCTCCCAATGCCACCACATTGGGGGCTAGAATCCCAACGTATGGATTTTAGGGGGACAGAGACATTAAGACCTCAGCAGACTGCAGACAGGCATGGGATGTTGACAAACAGGAGTGAGTGTATTCCTACAAATTTGGGCTTCCCTGGTGGCTCAGCTGGTAAAGAATCTACCTGCAATGCAGGAGACCTGGGTCCAGTCCCTGGGTCGGGAAGATCCTCTGGAGGAGGGCGTGGCAACCCACTCCAGTGTTCTAACCTGGAGAATCCCGTGGACAGAGGAGCCTGGCGGGCTACAGTCCACGGGGTCGCAAAGAGTCAGATGTGACTGAGTAACTAAGCACAGCATGTACAATAAAGGTGAGTCTTTCTGTCTATAGTGTGGCTTTTAAAAAATAAATAAAACCCTGAGTAGAATAAATACAAAGAAAGCCACACCTAGGCATAACTTAGTAAACCAAGCCTGAATCTGAAAAGCAGCCAGTGAAAGTGAAAGTCACTCAGTTGTGTCCAACTCTTTGTGACCCCATGGACTATACAGTCCATGGAATTCTCCAGGCCATAATACTGGAGTGATTAGCCTTTCCCTTCTCCAGGGGATCTTCCCAACCCAGGGATTGAACCCGGGTCTCCCGCATTGCAGGCAGATTCTTTAAAGCAGCCAGAGATTAAAATAAAAAGACAAAATACCTTCAAAGAATCAGTGGACATCCAAAGACAATGAAATAACATATTTTTTAAAATGAGGGAGCAGGAAGGTGGGAAGGTAGCCAGGATGGTAGTGCCCTGGCCTCACCCTCCTTTCTCTGACTTCCCTCTGGGTCCACTTAAGGTCAAAGCGTGTGTGTAGTTTTTTATCTGAGAATGTTGCTCACCCAAGGATGCTCATTGCTGACCTGCCCAGCAAGAGAAGGTAAATGGATCCTGGATAAAATCTAACAGGCGATTCTCATTGCAAGTCTCACTTTGCTTAGGAGGAGTCACGGGGTGGGGAATTGATTAGAGCAGGGTTTGTTCCAGCTTGGCATGAAGGATCCCAGGGTAATGTGGGAAGGTCCTGTTGGCACCCAGCAAGAAGATTGGTTCAATGGCACACACACATAGAAAAAGCCCCAAAATGTTTCTGAATGCTAGCCACCCCCAGCCCCAACGTTAAGCAGGGATTACATATAAGGGTTGGAAATGTTGGCTCTGAGATGACAGCTTTTTGGTGCCTTGCGAGGAATTGACACAGGGAAGACAGAGAAGGATTTTTATACCGGCCGTAAAGATTTCTAGGGAAAGGACCTGCAGTTACCCAAAAATGTGCTACCACCAAGAACAGGCAGAGACTGCACCAGCTCCTGGGGGCCCGCAGCATGGGTCTTCCCTAAGTTTTCTCTCTGACTTGAGCAGCCTGTTTAAGTAATCTGTTACTGCTCACATGGTGTTTTCATTTATGCAGGTTATAGAAACTACATGTTTATGTGACAATTTGAAAAATATAGGAGAGAATAAACCATAAGTAAACACTACTATTCCTTATATTACCTGAAAATCCCCAAAACATGTCTCATATTCCACTTTGTAGAATTCTGTGTTTTTTTTCATACAGATACATCTGTGTGCTTATATAAGATGTTTGTATTTTTTTGTTTTTTAATAAAGCTTGAGCTACACTCTACACGTTGCTTAAACCACCTGCTTTTTTTTCCTGAGGGATCTCATGTAGTATATCTCTAGGTGAGCAAATGCAGGTCCGTGTTGCTGACAGCTGGTCATTAGTTGTGTGAGATGCATAGCTTCTCATCAGATAGGACTACCGTGACTTAAAATAAGCAAGTCCTACCTGTTGGATATTAGAATTATCTCCTGATTTTCCACCTTTGAAATAACACCAGGTGTTTATATTGGATTACTCCAACCTAATTGAAATAGGCATTTTGTAAAAGTTTTCATATTAGTGTGTAATGTTTGAAATTATGTGTGTGTGTGTGTTTAGATGGAAATATAGAGATATAATCTTTCTTATACATGAATTATATATGGCTGAGTCCCTTTGCTATTCACCTGAAACTATCACAGCATTGTTAATCGGCTATACTCCAACATAAAAAGTTAAAGAGCAAAAACATTCCTTTCTGAAATCTCTGATGATAACCCTTTATAACAACATAAGGATAACAAAAACATTGTATACCCTTATATTGAAATTAAATATTCCTAAAATGTAAAAACAGAATTTGAATGATGGCATTAGTCAACAAGTACCTGATAAGAGACTCTTTCTCAAAGGTTGTATGTATCTAGTATGAAGGTAATCATTTGCTTTTTATTTTCAATTTTGGGGTATTTAAGGATAGCTGCTAAACAACAAAAAAAAAATTTAATATATTGTATAATCAAAACTAAATACATGAATATTTAAAAAGGTAACCATATATCTTTTCATTTTTATTAAAATTTCACTCCCTGCCATTCTCCCTAGCTGACCTGGGGTCATGCTGTTCTTTCCTGAAGAAAGAGAAAATAGGCATACCCCTTTGACAAAATATTTAATTTGTCTGTGTTTTGAGTCAAAAGCCAAAAACTATGGCTTTGGGAAATACCAAAAACTCTGAGTCTTATTCTAAAAATCAGCTAAATCCCAAAACCGGTGGAACAAACAAACAAAACTCCTGTAGACCAAATGGAAATTTTTGTGGGATATAGTGCCTGAAATTAATCATATAAAATTAAATATTTAGGAATATTGGGCTTCTAAACTTCAGAATGTAACTGACAGTGTATGTTCAAGCCCTGGAACCCAGATTTATATGTTAAGCCTTAAATGCTGACAGAGAACAGATTTTAAAATAACGTCAGGTCTGTATTGCAATTCATAGATGATCACTTGAAAATCTCAAGAGTTATGTGCACAAAAGGAAAATTATTTCAGCTAGGCTTTCAGCCTTTCAAAGCAACTTGACGTGTTTATGTTGACCTACTTGTGTTGATACCATGAAACCTTCCCATGACTATAAAAATATCTGGCACAAGACTCTGGCAATGCAGTACCGGCCTTCACTGATTGGAACAGCGTTGCATATTTCATAGGAACCCGTGAGTCCTGTGCCAAGGCCAGAGTCAGAAAATCCCTCCTAGTCAGTATGATAAAAACTGGCTGAACATTATACATGCACAGCACGTGATACGCTGTTGCTCAGTTGCTCAGTCGTGTCCGACTCTTTGCAGCCCCATGGACTGCAGCACGCCAGGCTTCCCTGTCCATCACCATCTCCCAGAGCTTGCTCAGACCCATGTCCACTGAGTCGGTGATGCCATCCAACCGTCTCATCCTCTGTCACCCCCTTCTCCTCCTGCCCTCAGCCTTTCCCAGCATCAGGGTCTTTTCCAATGAGTCGACTCTTTGCATCAGGTGGCCTAAGTATGTTACATACATACAACGTATGATACGTATGTGATCATTATAACCCAGATCGGTTAGTGGCACTGATTCACAGTCAACAGCGTATAGTCAATATGCTTCCTGAATAAAGTCACGAGATGGGAATAAATGCTTAAAATAACTTGAAGTTTTAATTGAGTCGGAAATCGTGTTATTTTCGAGGAAACAGTTCCTCTTGAACACCAGTATCTGCTGTCTACCTCTGCTACCCAGCAATAACGATCTGTTTGTTCATTTGCTGAAATATAGTTATGTGTGGGTAATTATAGCTATCACTTACTTTAATTGCCATCTTTTACTGATGTGAACACAGGCTTAGATCTTTTCTCGTATACTTAATTATTCCCTGGACTTGTGGTTATTTATCATTAGATTAGAGAGCAGTTTTTAGTGCTAGAACGTTATCATTATATCAAACAAAATATTGTGAATCTGAAGATGTTTATTTTGTGGGCACAGACCTAACAAATTCTATCTGGGCCATTTTCTTCTGCTTGAATGACTACGTATTTTATCATTGGACATTGGGGGCGGGGGGGAATGGCAATTAAAAGAATAGAGTCCTTACATTTGGTTTTACATTTACCACTCTCAGAAGATTTGGCTTTTTAAATCTGTGCCGTGTTTATCCTCAGCATATTGTAAGGATAATCTGTGAGGATACAGTACTGGGTGAGACCACTTCCAAGACCGGTAGCCCTGCATTCTTTGCATAGACTCTAAGGCCACAGTGAACCTAGGCCCCAGTAGGACCGAACCTCACTGCTCTGGGAACCTCGGAGAATGGCTTTTTCTCTTATACTCAACAACAGATCCAGGCCACTGGGGATGGAGCCTTTGCTTGGAATCCATGGAATACCCTCGACTATAGGCTTTACAATATCACCTTGTTCGTAAGAATTGTAGAAGATTCTTTGGAACTCATACTGCTTTCTGATTTAGAGCCTACCTGCCCGGAGAAGCAAGCCTTCACTTGACAATCTGGAATATTGTGCAATTATCTATTCTGAGCAGCAGAAGGTAGTTTGTAAGGGAAGCAGGCTCCTCAGGCATTCAGAGAGCCCTGCCCCATGCCTCCTTTCCATTTGAAGATATTTTGAAGTCATAATAAGTAATTTCTAGTTGGGACTTAATTTCATTCCNTCTTCATAAAATCTGTGTCTCCTTTGCTGCCCCGCAAGAAGGATTGTCAGTGCCTTCCTTCTAGATTCCATTTCTTAAGAATCATTCCCATTAAGACTTGAGCTCCTCAGATGCAGGACTTCTCTTGGCTTTTGATCGCGTCTCCCAGCGCTGTGACCCAGAGGATACCCTGATGCTCCCTGACTGTCTTCGGCTGGCCCCGGGTGAAGCGGGTCTTGCTGTTGACTTCGTTCTGAGTTTGGATCCTTGCTGAGTTTCTATCCGGATTCTGCAAGCCATCTTCCAGTTGATAACTCAGTTTTAAAAAGTGGGTCACGGCCCTCTTCTCCTTGCCCAGGTCCCCAGCCTCTGTAAGAAGTCCGGTGGACGGAATGCTCTAGAAGCAGATGCTCATCTCGCTCTTCGTGGGCTGCGTGTCCCCGTCACAGTTTTGCTACCCCTCCTTCACACGCAGCCCAAGCTTTTAGCTTTGCCCCACTCACCTGGCCATACAGTTCATTCCTGACCGTCTGCTCGTCTGGCTGCCTGGAAACGCCAGCCTGCGTCCGATCTTAGATTTCCGCTCACCCTTCCCCGGTTTTTCTGTGGTTGTTTTCAGTTTTGTTTTGTTTTTTTCCCGTTTCAACTGCCCTGACCCCACAAATGGGAAAGAGACTGCAACCCCAGGAACCCATTTACCCTCATTGTCCACAAGCTTCTCTCTTCCCCCATCAGCCTTTCATCAGACTTATTTTCAGCCTCTAGAAAAGTTTCCCTTCTCCCCTTCAGTACTTCTTTGCTCACCTCTGTGCTATTATGACATTTTTTTCCTTATCGTTCTATCTTTTTTTTTGCCAGTACACTTCCTCTTTGCTTAGCTAAACCTCCAGCAATGCCTGTATTCCCAAGCTGCTTTGAGAACCTTGTTATTCAAAGAGTGTTTACTGACCTTCATTTCAGTCTGCGAAATGCCACTCTAGTTTGTTCAGTAAGTTCCTGACTTACTTTGTTCGAGGAAAGGACACGCAACCTAATGGTACGCTGTGTTGCCCTCTGTAGGTTTACCTGAAGAAGATGGATTCTCCGGGCTGTCTGGGGGTGGAGCCTCCTCCTTTCAGAGACACAGAGAGAGCCACAGCACTCAGGTAAGAACCGCTCAGTGTGCTGATGCCCACCTTCGCTGTGATAACTGGAGCTAAAAGACAAGAAGAGTTTCGTGAAGGTGTGACCAAGAGCGTTTGTTCCCGTTGGACTAGGGGACACAGTTTTTTCCAATTCTGCCTTAAGTTTCTTCTCCTCAGCATTCTTTCTCCTTTTCTGTTGGCTGACTCCCACTTATTTTCTGCTCCTTTCCTGGTTGTTCAGGCAGTAAAGAATCCGCGGGTGGTGTGGGAGACCCAGGTTCGATCCCTGGGTCGGGAAGATCCAGTAGTCATGTCTGGAAAATCCCATGGACAGAGGGGCCTGGGGGGGTTGCAGTCCGTGGTGTCGCAAAGAGTCGGACATGGCTGAGCCAATAACATTTAAAAGAAGAATGTGCAGACACATGAAACTTAATAAACGGGCTTAAACGAAGCACCATAGACGCACTTTATCCGTGGGCATAATAGTCACTGCCCGGTGAGGAGGACGTCGCCGTCGCTGAAGGGTCTTCATGTTTCCTGCCTTTGCCCTCGGCTGAGTGAGAAGGCTTTAATGCACATAAAACACTCGAAGCCCGTGAGGTTTTATGGCCATTATCTCTCAGTTAGCACCTCAAATCCCACATAATCCAAATGCTCTACAAACTATCATATCATCAGAACACTGCAAAATTAAAATGAGTTTACAGCTCACAAAACTGTTTTGATATGCTTCAGTGATTTCACATGTATGCATAATGTGTTTGGCCTCAAAAAAGTTCACCAAAATAAAGAGGATTATCACTTAAAAATAAACTCTAGCGTTTGTAGAAAGAAAAAGGATTTATATCAATAGTTTAGTGTTCCTTTTATGTTCAATTTAAAAATAAAGTCTTTAAAAAATATGACTTTGCTTTGAAGGTGGTACACGACCAAAAATGTATTAAGGATTTTACTGTTGATATATTAAAGATTATTGCTTTAGCAACAAGATTATCTTGTATGAAGTTGCAGTACAACTTCTGCCATGTCAGATATCTACAGTAAAATTATCTAAAGTCAAGTATCTAGATGTGTCCATGAAACCAGCTATCTATTCAGTTTCCATCAGAATATTTGACATTATATAGGGACAGTTATATTATCAGCTGAGATTTTTGTAAATAACACTGATGAGGTAGTGAGAAAAATCAATAATTTTAATCTTAAAAATAAATCTTACAGTAGGCAATATGCTGAAATCACTTACACTGATATATAGGCATTGAAATAGGAAAAAAAAATGCTGATTGCTTGCAATAATAGATTGTCCTAATCTCCCCTCTGTTCCTCAGAGATGCACTTATTTCACCTTGTAAACACTGCAGATGCTTTATCTACGATAAGTCACGGGGGACCTGCTTGTAAAGAACAGAACGTCGGCTTGACTTCTGTCAAAGGGTTGACCCCTACACACTGGGGCACAGCCATAGAGACACCCTTCCCAGGGCTTCCACTGTACTGTGCGTCATAGAGAAAGAAGGTGCCTCAACAGAGGCATCTTGGCAACTTCCCTGTGGTCTTCCATTGATTCGGTTAAGATGTCAAGAGAGATGGGAGAGGTCGCCAGGACTAATTTTCTGTTTTGTCTTTTTTTTTAAGAGTTTTTTTTTTTTTTTGACATGGGCCATTTTTTAAATCTTTATTAAATTTGTTACAATATGGCTTCTGTTTTATGTTGGTTTTTTTTTTTGGCCACAAAGCATGTAGGATCTTAGCTCCCCAACCAAAGATCGAACCTGCACCCTGCATTGGAAGGCAATGTCTTAACCACTGGGCCCTCAAGGAAATCCTAGGAATAATTTTCCACTCCCAGCTTTTACTGAGAGCTTATTTTCAAAGGCAGACAACCCCCAGTTATCTCATAGTGCATTTTTTTCAAGGAAATGGAAAACCAGGCTCATTTTCTTGCATGCCTGGTGCAGGCTCTCTCTTGGCAGGACACGTGAGTCAGTGTTGGGTACCCATCACGGTTAGGTGGAGCTCTGCCTTGAATGACCACACATCTCTCAGCATAAATGCCTCTTGGGTGACGTTTATAGAGGAAATATAAACACATCAGACATCTTGCACTCTAGATTTTCTAGTAAAGCAATTAAGTAAGAATTCTATAAAATCTGCCTTGAACTGATTGGGCATGCAGCAATAAAATTAAATGCTGACTAAAAATTGAATTCCTCTTTGAGGATGTCTGTATGTTAATTAACATCATCAGTGATTTTAATGAAATCCCTTTAAGGAAGATGAAATGTCTGGGCATTATTGCAGATGAAGAAATCAAGAAATAGATTTAGTAATTTGCCAGAGATCATAGGGAAAATGCAGAGTCCAGGGTTTGAACGGGTGTCAAGATCCTCTGTCTCGTTTCTGAGAAGAAACTTGCCATAACTCACTAAAAGTGATGGAGACGTCATCTAGCTTTTACATAAAATTTGGAAGGCAAAGTCTTCCAAAAGACTTGGGTTGAGATCAAACCAAAAGAAGTTTGGGTCAAGGTAAAAGTCTTAAATAGCTGTAGTGGACATCTGTGGTTGTGTTTTTAGCTGCTGGCCACATATTTAAATTTCTCACCGACCACAATGAAAATTTAAGGGAAGAGACTTCACCTTCCTCCCCTCCTTGACGAATTGGACAGATGCTTGTGACATGCGCTCAGTCTGTCCAGCGTGGATTGTGAGTTAACAGACATACAGCGGAAGGGATGAGGATAGATGTCACCCCTGGGGGCCACCTGGGGGTGGTGGCTCCCTCCAGGGGCCACAGATGTTAGCCCGTGTCTGTGACCACAAGCCACTGCACTCACCTTGGGTCCAGCCCACGTGCCAAACCTGCCCTTCTGAAATTCACACCCAGTTATTTTGCTTTCCAGTAATGCTTCTGCCTGTGAGTTAGTTTCTGTTGCTTACAAAGGAGAATTTTGACTGGCACACAAATTTGATTTTATTCTCATTATCTATGAAATTTACTTTAGAGCCATAAGTTTTTTTTTTAATTTTATTTTTCTATTCTCTATTTTGTTTAAATTGAAGTACAGTTGATTTCCAACACTGTGCTAATTTCTGCTGTACGGAAAAGTGATTCACATACATACATTCTTTTTGACATTTTCTTTTCCATTATGGTTTATCCCAGGAGATGGGATAGGGTTCCCTGTACTAGCCAGTAGGACTTTGCTTTTTATCCATTCTTTATATGATGGTTTTCATCTACTAACCCCAAACTCCTAGTCCATCTCTTTCCTTCCCTCACAGTGATATGGTGTGGTTTACAATCTTTCATTTTCATTCATCGCATTTCTTGCCAAGCCTACTGTTGTATCCTTTAGCTTTCATAAAGAGCACTAAAAGTTATTCTTACTCTCTAATGTATTCAGATATTCACTGCAAGAAATCGTAGATGGTTTCTGATAAAATAATGGCCATCCTGTGCCTGAAAGCTTAATAAATATCTACTGCCTCTGGACACAGCCTCCAATGAAAGCCCGAACAGAATCAATATGCAATTGATCCACATCAAGAAACAAATTGTTATGTGGTTTGTTTTACTGAACCATCAAAGGAGTCTTTTTGTAATGTCACATATCAAAGAAATGAAGAGTTGCAGACCATTCAATAAACCCAATGTCTTTCTTTATCCATTTTATTTGTCACACGGACTGCTTGAAATGTATTGTGACAGAGAAAGAAACAGTGTGTTAGATAAAACAGCGAAATGTAGACACCTATCGTTTAATTGTTAAGGTGTGATTCTAAAACACATGCTGGGAATTAGAAATTAGACAACCATTTCAAACGGAATCATATGTATCTCACTGATAAGCCACTAACCAAGGGACATCTAACAGAGAGAGTGCTTCCACACAGCTGAGGTTTCAGGAAATCTGTATGCAGACCTCATGACTTCCATATTATGTGCGAGAAATGAAGGCAGTAAATTAATTGGGTGGTAGAAGTTAAACGGCAGCGTTTTCAACAGAAGGGACATGTCCTGTATAGATATCTAGAAACTTGGAAAATAACAAAAACAAATCCCATATTTTATATGTCTCCTTCATAAAATTGCACCATATGTATATCCTAGATGTTTCAAATGCATGATGTTTTTTTCCGGTGAAGACATTGACTGTCATCAAAGAGGAAAATTCAGTTTTAAGAAGTATGAAAGGGATGAGAGAGCAGAATTGTGACTGTGCTTTTGTATGTTTTGCTGCTCCGGCGGGAGTTGGTGATGGACAGGGAGGCCTGGCGTGCTGTAGCCCATGGGGTCGCAAAGAGTAGGACGCGCCTGAGCGACTGAAACTGAACTACTGAAGTATACTTGGTGACTGTGTTTTTAAAAGGAAAAAGATCTCATGATATCTCTGCAGGTCACCTTTTTCCTTTTTAAAAACTTGGTCATGGGACTTCCCTGGTGGTTGAGGGGTCGAGACTGCTTCCACTGCAGGGAGTATGGGTTCCATCCCTGGCCAGGGAACTAAGATCCCATGTGTGGCATGGCCAAAAAATAAAAATATAGTCACGATTCTGATTTCTCATTCCTTCAATATTAAAAAAAAAAGAAAGAAAGAAAGAAGCCAGGATGAGCAGGGCTGGGAGTGACTAGACTGGTGTGGAGGAAGGCTGGGTTGGGTTGCAACTTTAAATCAGATGACAAACAGAAACCTTTCTGAGCAAAGATAAGGTAAGAAAGTCAGAGTGTCAGCCAGGCTGCGGTCCGGGGAGCCCCTCAGGTGGGAAGGAGCAGAGACCCTGTGTACAGCCAGCCTGGACCCTGAGATGGTCAGCAAGGCTGGAAGGGAGTAAATCTACATATTACTGGACATTTTCACAAAGAGCAATAATTACCATGAGTTATGTGTTAGTGCTAGAAAGGGGAGCTTTTAAGTTTACATACTCTAGCAAGAGGCTAAATGTAAAATATCAGTTAGGATTGTACTGCATTGTCTTTCTTTAAGACAATGAACCAGCTTTGGAAACCTTGGTCTG